TATTATTATTATAAATATATAATTAAATATAACATAAATATCATTAACATTTATTTAAAATAAAATATAATAAAATATAAAAAATTAAACTAATATAAAAAATAATATATAAATAAAATAAAAATAATATATACTAATATAAAAATTAAAAAAAAATGAATTTATCTAATTTTAATCCCAGGTGATTTTTGATAATTTTAACCCCTAATGATTTTAATAATTTTAATCTCTAGTGATTTTAATAATTTTAACACCTAGTAATTTTAATAATTTTAACCTCTAGTAATTTTAATAATTTTAACCCAAGTAATTGTAAGTAAATTTAACAATCAGATAAACTTATTACATAATTAGGAATTCGCTTTTCTGATTTTTTGATCATATAGTTATTTTTTTTTTACACTTATTTGCAATCAAGATCATGCAACTATTTTAGCTTTTCACAAATTAACAATCGTGTATTTTTTGTTGTATAATTATTTTTCCTATATTTACTCGCAATCAAGATCGTGCAACTATTTTAATTTTCACGAATTAATGATTGTGCATTTTTTGTTATACAATTATTTTTTCTATATCCACTTGCAATCAAGATCATGCAACTATTTTAGTCTTCTATCATTGGTGTTATAAGATCATGCATCTCATATTCACTTTTAATTATAAAAAATAGATCCTAACACTGATACAGAATTACTTTTTCAGTATTACCCTTTATATCCTTTGTTTGAAGAAGACACTATGTTTGAAGAAGACATTTTGTTTAAAGAGAATGCTTTGTTTGAAGAGAACATTTTGTTTGAAGATATTTTGGTTGAAGAGAATGCTTTGTTTGAAGATATTTTGGTTGAAGAGAACGCTTTGTTTGAAGGAGATTTTATAAATAATATTCATTTAATTAGTATATGTTCGTTTTTCAATTTTTTTTTTTTTTTTTTTGATAAGCTTATATATAATTACAACTTCTTTTTAAAGACAAGTATTTTTCATATGAGCCACAATCAAGTTGTTTTAGAATGAATCAAATAATTAGTTTATATTGCTTTCAGAATTTGTTATAATTTTTGTAACTACTTATTTCATTATCTAAGCTTTTGATTACTTTTATACCTTTGTCTAAGATGGCATAATTACTGAAACTCAAAATTATAGGCCTAATATTATTCAAGAAGAGAGAAATGAACAAGATAATATAGAGCCCACTGATATCCAAGAAGAGAGAAATAAACAAGATGACATAGAGCTCAATGATATCCAAGAAGAGAGAAATGTACAAGATGATATAGAAGATAATATAGAAAATGAGTCAGGAATATTAAAATTAGATATAGATATAGAATTTGATACATGAAAAATAGCTGAATCTTACCTTGAGGATTATGGAAAGCAAGAAGGATTTAGTATTCGTAAACAACATTGTGTTTCTGATCTAGTTAATAATAGTATAACATGTCGCTATACTTTTGAGTGTTCTTATGCATATACACATAAACCCGAGAAAGCTGTTTTAATAGAAGATCAAAAGATAGAGAATTGGGAATGATTGGCTGTTCCTGGTATGTAAATTTATCATTTTCTAAAACTAGACATGGAGTAAAAATAAATAAGATTGTAGGCAAATACACTCACCCAATGAACCCTCTTATTGTAAAAACTGCACCAAGATTCTGTCGATTAACTGATGAAATGTGTGAACAAATTAAGTTCTGGACAGTCCAAGGAAAATTGGGTGTGTCTACTCAGTATAATCTACTTGCTGCATTATTTCCAAATAAAATGATTAATAAAAAAAAGTTAAGTAACACTATATAGTGGTATAAAAAACAGGTAAATCCTCAAAAAAATAATACTTGTTAGACTTTAATTGATTTGTATCAAAAGAAGGATAATGATTCATCATGGATAGTCAAACCAAGAATTGACTCTGATAAGAGGAGACTAACAGCATTATTTTGGATGTTTTCAACTCAAATGTGTACTTATAAAAGGTTTTACAATATTGTTGTTATCGATACAACATCAAAGACAAACCAATTTGATATGATTCTATATATTGTTATAGCTATTGATAATGATTTTAGGAACTTAATAGTGGCTTCAGCACTTATAGAGGATGAAACTGAAGAAACATTTGCATGGATTTTAGATAAGCTGAAAATGGCTTTTGAAATTACTCTAATAGTAATATTTTCAGATTCTGATCCTGCGTTGATATCAGCTATACATAATAACTACCTAGAGGCACATCTTTTTCATTATATATTTCATATTGGTCTGAATTTAAAAAAGAACCTCAAGAAGAAGTTATACAATCAATTTAAGCCATTTTAGCATAAATTTTTAGAGATACGTAATTCTCTATGCGCTAGACAATTTGAAACTAAATAGGCTAAACTTATTGAAGAATATTCTGCCTGTGAACAATACTTAACATGTACTCTATATTCATATAAAGAAAGTTAGGCTAGCTACACGGTTAATAGGTGTTTTATAGGAAAAATTCAAAGTACTCAACGAGCAAAGATTACCAATAGAATAATAAAAGAGAAACTTGACCGAAATTCACAATTGGCTAATGTTATTGAAGAAATACAAGTGGCATTCGATAATCAATCAAAAAGGGTATTAATTAATAAATGTAAAAATAGATTAGAGATGTGACAAAAATCAGGTGATTTTTTAGGGGTGGAGGGAGGTAAAAAATTTAAAATTATATATAAAAACCTGATCAAAACATATAATAAGAGGGGGGAGAGGAGTAAGCTTCTGATAAAAAAAAATCAGGTGATAAATAACACTGCCCTTACCAACATGAGGGTTGCCCAATTTAATGGAAGAATACTTTTCAGAAATGGTTAGACTATTATGAGAATATTTCACACCACAAATATTTCAAAGCAATGTGATCAGATATTACAATCACTTTGCTACGATGCTCTTTTGATTGATAATTAGTTCAAACTAATAGAGGTATATAAAGAAATTAATCTTTTATAGCTTATATCATCAATCAAAAAAATTCATTATTAGATTATAGTTAATTGTGTTAAAGGTTACATCAAAAGTATGATTTGTTATATATATGTACATGAATTAGATTTAAATAAGATATTGAATATTTTTTCTTATATTTAGACAACAGATGATTTTTACTAATTAGAAATGGGTAGAGAAGACAAATATGATCAACCATAGGCTTTATTTTCTTCATTGATCAGTCATATGTCAGATCATAATATTCAAGAAGTGTGGAGTATAACTAGGCATAGGTCTCTACATATAATGCTCCAATATATAATTATATTTGATGACGAATCCTACTTATGTATCTGCCTTTAGCTTATTAATAGAGTCATTGTTTTGTAGATACTTTTTTAGTGTCATATCTTATTCACAAAAAGCATGTTTTTATATTACCTTCATTCTACAGCGATGGTATAATAACAAAAAAGCCAGTATCGACTAACAAGTTCATTTAGCAACTTCAGTATATCAAATTTCTGAAAATAAGTTGAACCAGCTTCCTTCTCAGCCATTATCATTTAACTATTTGAAAAATATAAGAGAGACTGATTATAATGAGCAAAAGCAAAGCCCTAAACAAAAAGATAGCTTTGAGATGGGTTATGCTAAAAAGCACTTGATTACACAGTTTATACAGATAATATTGATAAATTAGTTAGCTACTTAGAAAATTTTGTTGAAAAAGCCAAACTTGAATTAAATAAACAGGAGAAAAATAACAATATAGAAAATATAATCATTAATAATCCAATATGTGCAAAGCACAAAGGATGTCTGCTTAAATGTTATAAATCAAGAGAAGAAGATCTACCAAGAAAAAAAGTACGAAATATTCGAGATATTACCAATTCAGTCAATCAAGTTAATCAAGTTTTAGATAAAAATAAGATAACTCATAATCCTGGTAATGGTAATTTAAAACATTTAAGGTAGGTTACTATGCTTCATAATGCCCGAATTAGTATGTATATACAAACAAAGTTTGATCAAAATATTGCTATAATATATATATATATGTATACATATACAGCCTAATTTAGAATAAAGATCAACATATTGTAGAGAGAAGCTAAATTTAGTAGTTTATATATATTAGTTGTTATGTATAAAGTACATAAATATTAATCTTTGGTGGAATTTTAGAACTTTCACGTTATTGAGATTAATAATCTAAGAAATTTCTTTTCAATATACTATCAGTTTATGTATTATATATATATATTTAAGTAGCAAGTAACTAGGCTATATTATTGGTCTTTTGAAAATTATTACTATTATTTAAAAACCCAGTTAATTCTGTCATGATTATAAAAATGATTTATAATACTAGTTTAATTTACTAATAAATTTCGCTTTCAGATTAGAGTTTTGATATAGTGTTAGAGAACTAGGTAGTTAGTAAAGTAGTACTGTACAATTGTACAAATTTGTACAGACATATAAAAATTAAGTAAAATTTTGATAGTATGTATGGTTAACATAGGTTGTAAAACTATTTAGCACAAAAATGTGACAAATGATTAGGCGTGGCTAATAAGCATTATTTAATATAATTATTTAACTAATGCTTATTTGTCATATTGATAATTTATCATGTCTTTATGCCAAATAAAAGAGAAGATCTAATTCTTTATAAATAAACCTTTTTTTAATGTTTAGAGTAAAGACAAGTGCGAGCATTGTTCTTTTTTTGATATAAGGTTATAAAAAATTGGCTTTGCTTCGAAATAATTTTTCTTTTACAAACCATATGTGCTATTATAATTTCTATATATCCATTCTAATTTGTATTTTCATACTGTATATACTCTAGAGAACTTGACTGCTTTAATATTATATCTGTTGAATTAGTGTACTATATATACAGATTTGGTTATGTGTAGATTAATACAATGCTGATTATTCAATATTTAGAGTTGGATTTATACAAGAGCATATTAATAACTTTATGAGAATTTGTAACTAGAACCTGTCTAATTTTAGATTTTTATTTTAGTATTAGTTAATAATTATATATATTTATATTATGTATTGTATTATATTACTTTAATATAGTATAATATTATTGGTTAATATTATATCACGTGACAGGTGATTTTACTTGATAAGCAAATTAGCAAAATCTCAAAAAAATAATATAAAATATTAATTATTATATTGATGGATGTGTTGAATCTTCTTGATTAGATCTAGGAAGATTTAAATCATCTTGATTATTATCAGAATGATGTGAATGGACAGAATGATAATAAGAATAGAGAGAGCTAGGAACAGGATTAGGTGGAGTTGATACTCTTGGATGTTTACCCTTTCTATTTGAACTAGAAGAAGTAGGAGCCCTTATACGTTTCGACTCCGCTTACTCGAAGTACTTGAAGTTGGAACAGGTTCGACTTGATCTTCTTCAGTTAAAGAATCTTCACTCTCATTTGTTGGTAGTAAAAAAGCTGTGCCATTTGCCAACTTATTCTAATTTAATTAAAATTATTACAAATAAGAATTATATTATAAACATCATACATATATTTAAGTATTATTAAATATAATTAATTATATATTACTTACTAAGTTTTTATTTAATCTATTTTTAGTAATTT